CAGAGGCCGGCGGAGGTGGGGATCGGGGATCGGGAAGTGCAGGGGAGGATGCATCCGCCGCGCGCCCCCGCCAGCTGCCGACGGGAGGAGGAGGCAAACTGAAGAGAAAGAGCTAAGGGGCGGGGGTCTTTCAACTTTAGCCATCACAGTTGTCTTCATTTTCAAGGAAAACACTTGTTTCATCTCTCTTTCAATGTAGTCTTGAAATAAGTAAATTATGAACCAAGTTCACTAAAACATGGATGTGAAGATCACATTGTGGCTATTAGTATTCAGGCATCTGCACAGATCTGTCCTTGGGGTTCTGACAGGCTATGCCCTCAGCTGCAGCCACTAAGAGCATCACGTGTGCATATTCACTATGTTCCCTTTTAAAAGGGACCTGCCTACTTGCCATCCTTCTCTCTCACTCTTTGTGTCTCTCACTCCTCTCTCTCCCCCTCTTCTCTCTCATCTCTCCTTCTGCTCCTGTCTCTGGAGGCTGTTCTCCCCCATTCCTTTCCCCCCTTTTATGATCCCTTTCTCTTATTAAAAAAAAAAAAAGCCTTCTGCTTGAACCCTACCAGTCTGTTATGTCTGGCCTGCTTAGCAGCTGCATGACATACTTAGTAAACAATTATAAGTAAAATATGGCTTATTCTCAAGTCAAATATTAGTGCAGGAGCCGGAGAGATGGCTCCATGGCTATGAGTACTTTACTCCTCCTGCAGAGAACCTGGATCCAAGTTCCAGCACCCACATGTTTTTGCATGGTTTCTTTCTCTTGAGATCCGAAGAGTGGCTTCTATCTTGCAACATTTAAGGTAGACTAAAGTGTGCTATATGTGTGGCAGGTCCATTTAGTGGACTTTATTTTGTGGTCCTTGTATTTCTTCCATTGCTTTTGTTCATCTCTTATTGTGCTTTCACTTAGTGAGAGGTATTTTTTTTGCTGCAATGTATAGAAAGTGAAGTTCATCATCTGAGTGGTCCATTTTTATTTAAATATCAGGCTGCAAGTGATCATACTTTTCAAGTAAGGATGTCTGTGAAAGGGTGGTGAAATGTTTGTTACCCAGCCTGGCTTGGATGTCAGTAATTAGTCAGAGGTGCATTTGAACTCATGATCCTCATGCGTCAGTCTTGGAAGTACAAGTCTAAGAGTAGATGATGTAATCCCTACATTTGCTGTTTTATCATCACATTTTGACAATGTTAATGTTAAAATATAGAGAATATATAAATATTTAATACCTCATGTGTGTGTGTGTGTGTGTGTGTGTGTGTGTGTGTGTGTGTGCCAGGAAACATATTCCTCTATATGGAAGAAATGTAATAAGGTAGAATAATAAGCATTCAGCTGTATATTCACCATATACCTTGATGTGTCATGAATATGTATATATTGTTTGAAGTGCCATGCATCTTCAGAACCTCATCAGTTATCTAATTGGCACATCATATTGAAGTATTGCCTTCTAAGGGAATTATCCAGAGATGCAGATAATGTAATGACATTTATTTAAAAAAATATTCTGAAGCTGGGCGGTGGTGGTGTACGCCTTTAATCCCAGCACTTGGGAGGCAGAGGCAGGCAGATCTCCATGAGTTCGAGACCAGCCTGGTCTACAAGAGCTAGTTCCAGGACAGCCTCCAAAGCCACAGAGAGAGACCCTGTCTCGGAAAAAAAATTCTGTTGTGTGTTTATGTAGCATGACTGTTTAAGCCATGATGGATATGTGGAGACTAGAAGACAACTTTGTGGTGTCTACTTTTGTCTTTTTTTTGTTGTTGGTTTTTTGTTTGGTTTGTTTGTTTGTTTGTTTGTTTTTTGAGACAGGGTTTCTCTGTGTGGTGACTCAAGATAAAACCATGTTGTCAGGCAATCCTGAGTCAGAAGTCACTCTAAGGCTGGGGCAATCTGACATTTATAAAGAGCTGTAGAGTATGGAGGAATTGTTAAGGAGGGAGCTTTGGGTGTGAAAGTCCAGGGTCAAATGACCAGAAAGCAATGCTTGGGGTGTACCTGAGAACAAGATGGCTCACACTGTGCTCTCTGTATCCACTCACCTGGGGATCAGTGCCCTCCAGGTCTTCCACTCTTTTCTGGTTTTGGCTACTGCATGTAGCTGCCAGTGACAATTCCCTGTGGGCCCCCACTTAGTGGTCCCAACTTGGGCCTTAAAGCTTTTCAGTCCTTACCCTGGCAATCCCTGTAACCTACCTTCTTAGTACAAATAAGGACAGTCCAAAGAGACTCTCTTTAGCCTACAACTAGTGAAACAGTAGACCTATAAAATTCTAATTTCCCTGGGAATATCATTGTGGGAAAAGACTTGAGTCTTCTAAATGAGAATGTCTCTATTGAAGAAACATTTACTTCTTATCTGACTACCTTACATGATAAACTCAAACTGAGAATGTTGGGGTGTTTTAGAGATGGGGAAATTGCATTATTTGGTTTCATTAGATTATTTAGTTTTGCATACATTTGTCTTCTATCTAAGCCTGTTAGGACCCCAGGGATGGATTATTTACTGTTTATTTTCTTTATTGTTCCAAATTAGTCAGACTGAATAAATATGTTTTAATTTTTTTTTTTTTTGGTTTTTCGAGACAGGGTTTCTCTGTGTAGCTTTGGAGTCTATCCTGGCACTCGATCTGGAGACCAGGCTGGCCTTGAACACACAGAAATCTGCTTGCCTCTGCCTCCCGGGTGCTGGGATTAAAGGTGTGCACCACCAACACCTGGCATAGGCTAACAGAATGGATATGAAGACAGAATCCATCCTTCTGCTGTATACAAGAAACACATCTCAACTTCAAAGACAGGCATTACCTCAGAGTAAAGGGTTGGGAAAAGATTTTCCAATCAAACGGGCCCATGAAACAAGCTGGTGTAGCAATCCTAATATCTAACAAATTAGACTTTAAACTAAAAGCAATCAAAAGAGATGAAAAAGGGCATTTCATACTCATCACAGGAAAAGTCCATCAAGACTACCAAGGTTTGGTTCCCAGCATTCATTCAGGACAGATAGCTCACAATGGCTAGTTCCAGGAATTCCCTCTGCTCTGCAGGCATCTTCATGAACATGGTGCATACATACAGACAAGCAGGTACACACAGAAATAAATCTCTTTCTAGAAAAAAAATGGTCTGGGCCTATGGTGATGAACACCTTCAATTTCAGCATTTGGGAGGCAGAGGCAGCAGAATCTCTGTAAGGCTACCTATAGCGACCCTGTCTCAAAAAAAAAAAAAAAAAAAAAAAAACAAAAAACAAAACAAAACAAAACAAAAAAAAACAAAAACCAAGCCAAACCAAAAACCAGAAGAAAAAAAAAAAAGAAAGCAATGGCTCAGTGGGTAAGAGTACCTGCTGCAGCCAGTTGGTGATGCCCTTTAATCCCAGCACTTGGGAGGCAGAGGCAGGAGGATCTCTGTGAGTTCAAGGCCAGCCAAGGCTGTTACAGAGAAACCCTGTCTAGAAACCCTCCCTGCTCCTGGAGAAAAATTAGCGTGTGTCTAAAATGACGTACAGATAATGCATTTTGTTCGGTCACATCTCTCCACAGTGCAGACTTTGTTTCTTCTGCATGATTGAGGCGTCTGTGTGTACGTGGTTGTTTGCGTGTTCGAGGAGGCCAGCGTGCAATGTGTCTGCCAGGAAGGCTGGGGTGGCTGGTGGGCAGGTGAGTCCCAGTGACCTTCCTTTCTGCATGGCTGGCAGGACTAACAGGCTTCTTCCTGGCTAACCCGGTCCTAGCACTCTGATCCTCCCGCATCCACCTGCAGAGGTCAGGGTTCCAGGTGCACGCTTCCCTGAAGATGTCAGGGTTCCAGGCACACGCCCCCCTGCAGAGGTCAGGGTTTCAGGTGGACGCCCCCCTGCAGAGGCCAGGGTTGTAGGTACACGCCCCCCTGCAGAGGCCAGGGTTGTAGGTGCACGCCCCCTTGCAGAGGTCAAGGTTTCAGGTGCACGCCCCCTGCAGAGGTCAGGGTTGCAGGTACACGCCCCCCTGCAGAGGCTGGAGTTGCAATTACATGCCCCCCTGCAGATGTCAGGGTTGCAGGTACACGCCCCCCTGGCAGGATCCTTTCTGAAGATGGTTCTGAGGACCCCAGCCACTGACTGACCTCGGCTCTCTGTCCCAGCTCGGCGCGGCAGGCGGCTCCCCGCCGGCCCAGCCCCC